ATCTTGATGTACGAGGGCTGTGCTGTGCTGCGCTGTGCTGAACTGCGATGTGCCATGCCGCGATTGTGCTCTATAGCGTTGTGGATCGAGTCCTCCTTTGCATCCGAGTCCTGACCGAACTGATCTGGATCTTAAGCTCGAGCTGCCTCAGCACATAGTAGCTGCCCCAGAGCTAATTGACAGGGGAACATGCCAGGAGGACGCGCCGCGGAACGTCGCAAGGGACGCGCCAGGCGACGTGCCAGGGGACGTGCCACGGGGACGCACCGCGGGACGTGCCGAGGGGACGCGCTACGGAACGTTAAAATGCGTGGTCCTTGCTCGGGGCAACCATGTTAGATATCCCCCTGGATGGCCTGGACACCTAAAAACACATGGTGCCAGCTCGGGAAACCAAGCTATGTACACCCCTGGGTAGCCTGGACTCGTTATAACACGTGGTCCTTGCTCAGAACAATCATTTTAGATACCCCCCTGGGTGGCCTGGATACGTAAAAACACATGGTTCAAGCTCGGGACAACCATGTTAGATATCCCCCTGGGTGGCCTGGACGCGTAAAAACATATGGTTCCAGCTCGTGACCACCATGTTAGATACAACCTGGGTGGCCTGCACACGTAAAAACACGTGGTCCAGCCCACCCAGGGGGGGATATCTAACATGCGGTCGTCTGGAGCGCAGGAGGGCCCAGGAACGCCCAGAGGCGCCTGGAGGCCAAAACTAGTCGAGACATCCTCGAAATTCCTGCGCGCGGGACGCGGCACGCGCGAGAAATCCTCGGAATTCCTACGCGGCGCGCTTTTCTGTGTCGCGGTCGGCTCTGCAAAACCAACGTTTTCGCTCGAGACATCCTCAACAAATTCTGAAAACAACGTTTCGCTCGAGACATCCCCAACTCTGCAAAACCAGCGTTTCGCTCGAGACATCCACAACGAATTCTGAAAAACAAGCGTTTCGCTCGAGACATCCTCAAACATAATTCCGCCAGCCCTACTCCCGCACGTAATTCATCGCAGAACAATTTCGCCGGCCCTACAGCCGTCGAAACCGGGGGCAAACCTCTAAAAGAGAACCCTGGGCCTGCGCCCTTTCCGGGAAAAAACATTCGGGGGGGAAAGGGGGGGACCTTTATTACCGCCCGTCGGCGGTTATTCCTCTTCCTGCATTCTTGTAAGAGCCAGGGCGGGGGGACCCTCCCCTTCCAAAACCGGCCTCCCGGGATCTGGGGCTTTGGGACCCTCCGGACGGGCCTCGGCCCCCCGGGCCTCGCAGGGCGTGTTGCCAAGCCTTCCCAGCACACCTGGGGCGATCAGGGGGTTCATCGGAGACTTCCCAGAGACCCCCAAGACAGCACAAGAGCGCTCCAAGAGTGACCGACGTGACCTCAAGATGGGCCAAAAGGCCTCCAGGACGGCCCCAAAGAGGTCTCCAAGAGCACTCCCAAGAATGCCCCAAGAGGCAAAAATCATTGATTTTCTGTTGGTTTTGGGTGAATGTTGGGGTTATCCTTTTTTTCGGCTTCCCGACGCTCCAAGACGGCGGTCTTCTGGGCGTCCGAAGCCGCCTGGGAGGCTCCCAAATCGCCTCACAACCATCCGAAAGGGCTTCCAGGCAATCCAAGAGAGCCCCAAAACGCACCACACGGGTCCAAGATGGCCCTCAGAGAGCCCCATGGCGGCCCAAGATGGCCCCAAGACACCCTCCGAAGCACTCCAAATCGTGACCCAGTCGTTCAGGGAGACCGCGGTTGCCTTAAGAAAGCCTGAAACAGCTTTTGTGAGGCCCCCAGAGGCTCTCCAAGGAGGAGCCTCCGCAAAAAAGAGCTGAGGAGGATGGGGAGAATGCGGAGGGTATGGCGAACATGAAGAAAAAGAACATGATCGACCCACGAACCCGGAAAGGAATATAGAAATGTAAGGCATAGCAACGTTTCAAAGACACCTGATTGGGCGACAGGCAAACGCAATGCTGAAAGGATCGATCTTGATGTACCGTGCCGAGGGATGTGCTGTGCAGCGCCGTGCTGAATTGCGATGTGCCATGCCGCGATTGTGCTCTATAGCCTTGTGGATCGAGTCCTCCTTTGCATCGGGGTTCTGACCGAACTGATCTGGATCTTAAGCTCGAGCTGCCTCAGCACATAGTAGCTGCCCCAGAGCTAATTGACAGGGGAACATGCCAGGAGGACGCGCCGCGGAACGTCCCAAGGGATGCGCCAGGCGACGTGCCAAGGGACGTGCCACGAAGACGCACCGCGGGACGTGCCGAGGGGACGCGCTACGGAACGTGCCAATGCACGTGCCACGGGACGTGCCAGGGGACGCGCCGCGCGACGTGCCAGGGGGACTCGCCACGGGACGCGCCATGGAACGTGCCAGGTTGTAATGCTGAGTGTATCGATCTTGATGTACGAGGGCTGTGCTGTGCTGCGCTGTGCTGAACTGCGATGTGCCATGCCGCGATTGTGCTCTATAGCGTATAGCGTTGTGGATCGAGTCCTCCTTTGCATCCGAGTCCTGACCGAACTGATCTGGATCTTAAGCTCGAGCTGCCTCAGCACATAGTAGCTGCCCCAGAGCTAATTGACAGGGGAACGTGCCAGGAGGACGCGCCGCGGAACGTCCCAAGGGACGCGCCAGGCGGCGTGCCAGGGGACGTGCCACGGGGACGCACCGCGGGACGTGCCGATGGGACGCGCTACGGAACGTTAAAATGCGTGGTCCTTGCTCGGGGCAACCATGTTAGATATCCCCCTGGATGGCCTGGACACCTAAAAACACATGGTGCCAGCTCGGGAAACCAAGCTATGTACACCCCTGGGTAGCCTGGACTCGTTATAACACGTGGTCCTTGCTCAGAACAATCATTTCAGATACCCCCCTGGGTGGCCTGGATACGTAAAAACATATGGTTCAAGCTCGGGACAACCATGTTAGATATCCCCCTGGGTGGCCTGGACGCGTAAAAACATATGGTTCCAGCTCGTGACCACCATGTTAGATACAACCTGGGTGGCCTGCACACGTAAAAACACGTGGTCCAGCCCACCCAGGGGGGGATATCTAACATGCGGTCGTCTGGAGCGCAGGAGGGCCCAGGAACGCCCAGAGGCGCCTGGAGGCCAAAACTAGTCGAGACATCCTCGAAATTCCTGCGCGCGGGACGCGGCACGCGCGAGACATCCTCGGAATTCCTACGTGGCGCGCTTTTCCGTGTCGCGGTCGGCTCTGCAAAACCAGCGTTTTCGCTCGAGACATCCTCAACAAATTCTGAAAACAAGCGTTTCGCTCGAGACATCCCCTTCTCTGCAAAACCAACGTTTCGCTCGAGACATCCTCAACAAAGTCTGAAAAACAAGCGTTTCGCTAGGGACATCCTCAATGTTTAATTCGCCGGCCCTACGCGACCTCGTTATTTATCGCAAAAGAAATTCGCCGGCCCTACAGCCGTCAAAACCGGGGGGAAACCAACTAAAAGAGAACCCTGGGCTCAGGCCCTTTCCGGGAATTATGGAGGAAGGATAACGAATAACATGATTATAGCGGCGATGCTGGAAAAAACAACATGGAGTTATCGCTAAATTGTCGGCAGGACCTTCATGCTATTCCGCCTGCATGCCAACTTTCAAGGACCAAGGTGCATGGCGCGAAGCGCCACTGCAGTCTTGTGTATATATATATATATGTGTATACATATGTATGTACCATGTGCGGTGGAAGCTATGAGGAACAACCTGCGTGGCGCAACATGTTGGAGAGTATGCGGCACAATCTATGTGGTTCAAACTACCTGGTGCGAGCAGTGCGGTACTGAAACATGTCTCTTGCAGGACACGTGGAGCAACGTACGTGGTGCAATCTGCATTTGCATCTACGAACACTGTCGTCGTCGTCGTCCTCGTCGTCGTCGTCGTCGTCCTCGCCCCCTGTCGGGTCGGGCGAAAGGGGGGGATAGCAAAGGGGGGGTTTGAGAATCAGCTCACGTAGCTGATTTTCCCGGCGCCTCCCGGCGCCGGAGGCGGCCATGTATCGAGGAATGGGCCCCTCGGCGGGGCCGAAACCAGCTGCATGCAGCAGATTTCGTAACCCCCCCTTTCCCAATCCCCCCCTTTCGCCCGACCCGATCGTCCTCGTCGTCGTCGTCGTCGTCCTCGCCCCTGGCGCCGTCAACCGACGACGGCGACGACGGCGACGGCGACGGCGGCGGCGGCGACGACGACGACGACGACGACGACGACGACGACGACGACGACGGCGACGGCGGCGGCGGCGGCGGCCCGCGGCGGCGGCGGCGGCGGCGGCGGCGGCGACGGCTGGCGACGGCGGCGGCGGCAGTGGAGAGTGGCGCCGCCGGCCCGCCGCGAGTGAAGGCGGAGCCAGGACGAGCGAGGACAAAATCGGGTGAAGATCCAGCGGCTCTGGAGGAGGCACCAGAAGCAGAGGTGGAGAACGAGAAGGAGGAGGACGAGGACGAGGACGAGGAGGAGGAGGAGGAGGAGGAGGAGGAGGAGGAGGCGGCCTTCTCAGAGAGTTCCACGAAGCCAGGACGAGCGAGGACAACATCGGGTAAAGATCCAGTTGGGCGTGGCTTAATGGGGGGGTCGCAAATGGGGGGGTCAGAAAAGGTCCCCTTTCGTGCCCCTTTCGGGCCCCTCCAGAGCCCCAGGGGGCTCGTTTAGGTACCATTTGGGTACCTTTTCGGACCATCATCGCCGCCCCCCCATTTACGATCCCCCCATTACGCAGCGCCCAATCCAGCGGCTCTGGAGGATGCCCCGGGCGCCGCGGCCTTCTCAGAGAGTTCCACAGACGCTCTGGAACGGATTTGAGTGTCCCCGGCCTCGCACGCCGCGAAAGTCCTTGGCCGGCGGCGGCGGGCGGCGACGGCGGCGGCGGGCGGCGAAAGCAGACGGCGGCGGCGGCGGCGGCGGACGTCAGCGGCGGACAGCGGCGAGGGCGGCGGCGGTGGATAACTCCGACGCGAAACCGCCGGGAGAGTCCTTGGCTTCCCAGCGCGGTGGCGCCGCGCCCGCCGCGCCCGGCGAGCCGGAGGGCTCCTGGGCAGGCGAGGGGGGCGTCGCCGCTGAGGGGCCGAAGAAAACGACTGCGACGACGACGACGACGACGACAACGACGTCGACGACGGCGGCGGCGGCGGTGACGAAGACGACGACGACGACGGCGGTGGAGGCGACGACGACGACGACGAAGACGGCGGCGGCGACCGCGGCGACGGCGGCGATGACGACGACGACGACGGCGGCGACGACGGCGGCGGCGATGACGACGACGACGGCGGCGGCGGCGTCGGCGGACGGCGGAGACGACTGAGACGCTGACGGCGACGACGCCCCCTGGTGGGCGGCCCCTCGGATTCGGGCGGCCCGTCGGCTCGGAAGGTCCTCGGGCGGCCCTGTGCCCTGAGATCCGCCGTGGCGAACACATGGCGCTACAGCACAACGAAGGCTCACGACGGGAGCCCTAAATCCCATCTCTGAAGGGGCCCCAGGACACACAAAGAAATACCCACAAATATAAAAAATATTCCCAATCTGTTTCTATATTTTCTGACTTTTGGTCTTCCCCCCCACTGCCCATATTTCCCTATATTTTCTGGGGAATCGCCGATTCCTTGTGTCTGTGTGTTTCTCTCCCTCCTGACAAATCACACCTCCCTGCGCCACTCGTCACGCTGGACCGATCTGCGAGGGCCCCGGGCCCCGAACCTGAGCGAGCACGGCCAGCTCAAACAGATTGCACCGCCAGGAGGAGGAGGAGGAGGAGGAGGAGGAGGAGGAGGAGGAGGAGGAGAAGGAGGGGGATCTCAGGGAAGGACGCCGCCGCCGAAAGGCCGCCCCTCGGGACGCGGCCCGGACTCGGGCGGCCCTTCGGCTCGGGCGGCCCTCGAAGGGCCCTCGGGCGGCCCTTCCGGCTCGGGCGGCCCTTCGGGGCGGCCCCGGGAGCCGCGGCGCGGAGGGCGGAGGGCGGTGGCCGCGGCAGCGGCGCTGTCGCCTCCCTCCTCTCGGGTCGGGCGAAAGGGGGGGATAGCAAAGGGGGGGTTTGAGAATCAGCTCACGTAGCTGATTTTCCCGGCGCCTCCCGGCGCCGGAGGCGGCTATGTATCGAGGAATGGGCCCCTCGGCGAGGCCGAAACCAGCTGCATGCAGCAAATTTCGTAACCCCCCCTTTCCCAATCCCCCCTTTTCGCCCAACCCGATCCTCCGCGCGCGCGCAGAGCCGGGTGAGAGGAGGGCGGCGGGAGGAGGGCAGCGAGGCTCGTGGCAGCAGGCCAGCAAGCCTGGCCGGAGGGCCATCTCGAAGCCTCAAGGAAGGGGTGGCGGGTGTGGGTGAGCCTGAGGGGTGGGATGGAGCCGAAGACGAGGACCAGGAGGACGAAGATGGGGACGAGGATTGACACGAGAAGGGGCAAGAAGAGGAGAAGCAAGCTGGCTGGAGCAACGTGGTAAGCACTTCCAACCACTGAGGCCAGCACGCGCATGTGCTTGAGTCACTATCCCCATCCACTCCCGCCTCCCCCCTCAATCCTCCTCGTCCTCCTCCTCCTCCTCCTCCGCCTCCTCCTTCTCCTCCTCCTCCTACTCCTCCTCCTGCTCCCCCTCGTCCTCCTCCCCCCCCCGGCTTCCTTCCCGACCTGCCCAGTCGCGAAGACGAGGACGACGAGGACGAGGACGAGGACGACGACGAGGACGCGGACGACGACGAGGACGAGGACGAGGACGCGGACGACGACGACGACGCGGACGACGACGACGACGACAACGACGACGACGACGACGGCGGCGGCGGCGAAGGAGGCGGCGGCGAAGGATGCGGCGGACGACAGCGGCGAGGGCGGCGGCGGCGGCGGACGGCGACGAGGGAGGCGGCGGACGGCGGCGAGGGCGACCGGGACACCGACGGCGGGCGGCGGGCGGCGGCACCAATTACCCGTCGGTCGGAAGAAGAAGAAGGCGGAACCATGAAGTAGGAAGGCGTTGAAAGTAGATTGGGTGTCCGCCCGCCCACGAAAGAGGAGGGAAGAGGGGAAGCCAGTCGATCATAGAAGTAGGAAGGCGCTTAAAGGCGACTGTAATCTGGGAGTCCAACTAGTTACTTTCAATGACCAATGGGTAACCGAGCCGCGGCGTCGGTTCGGCGGCGCACAGGGCGGCCCCCCCATGGGTGGCCTCGCCGGTGGACTGCTCGCTGTTCGCCCCGTCCGCCGAGGCGGAGCTAGCCTCTCCGAGGGGCCACGGCGGTGTGCCGCTTCCCTCCTTGGCGGCGCGCACAAGCGGGCACAGGCGAGGTCGATTGACGAGGAAAACGCGAGAGGACACGAGACCCCTCCGAGGGCAACACTGCCATAGGAATGCCGAAGGCATGGGTCGGCAGACACAGGACGCAAGAGCTGATGGGCCTGTTTTCCACCACCACCACCATAAGTTGGAGGGGGGAAGGAGGTGGAGGACGACGAGGAGGAGGAAGAGGAGGAGGACGAGGAGGAGTAGGAGGAGGAGGAGGAGGAGGAGGAGGAGGAGGAGGAGGAGGAGGAGGAGGACCCCCTCCCCCTCCAACTTATGGTGGTGGTGGTGGAAAACAAGCCCACCAAGAGCACCCCTGACTTGGCAGGGCCGACCTGCCAAGCCGCCCCGACTGTAGGGAGGGAGGGAGGCCGCTCCTTCGAGAGGGCGCGGGCCCCGCAGCTAATTACGGACGAGGCCCGCGCCTGCTGGGAAGCAGTGGCGCGCAGACACGGAGTAGCGATCCATGGATTTTCGGCGCGCGGTCGCCAAATCCATGGATCGGGAGAGGTGCCCCTCCCCAACGTGCGGCCGGTGCCGCCTCCTTCGGCGGCGGGAGTCCGCGCCTCCATGTGTTGCGATCGCCGGAGCAAAGGAGGGGTGCCTCTCCCGAGCTCTCCCCCCTCCCGTCTCCCCCCTCTGCGCGCGGCCGGCCGGCCTCCGCCGCCCTTCGCCGGCTCGCGCCCTCGGCGGCGTCGCGGGCCGCGGCGGCGCCGTCGGCGGCGCTGGCCGAGCGGCGGCGGCCGAGCGGCGGCGGCGGCGCGGCGGGGCCCCCGAAGCCCGCGCCAGCGGCCGGGGAGGGGGGGGCAGCCTGGCTCGGGCTGCCCGGCGGCGCTCGGCTCGCCTCGGCCGCCTGGCCCGGGCTGGCGGCGCGGGCGGCACGCGGCTCGCCTCCGCGGGCGCCGTGCGCGGGCCGCGCTCGCCCGCCACGCCGCGGCGCGAGCAATGCGATGCTTCGTCGTCCTGGGGATCCTCGCCCTCGTCGTCCTCGCCTCGTGCCTCCAGGCGCACCATCTTCCCTCCGTTCCTCCTCCCTCCTCGCTCCGCCCTGCTCCTCCCCTTACTACTCCCTCCTCCCTCCTCCCTCCCCACTCCCCATTCCGCACCCCTCACTCCTCACTTCTTACTCCCTTCTCCTCTTCCTCCACCTCCACCTCCTCACCTTCTTTCTCTTTCAGCTCCCCCCCTCCTCCTCGATCTTCTCTCTGCTCCTCCGCCTCCTCTCCTCCCTGCTCCTCCCTCCTCCCCCCCACCCTCCCTGCTCCTCCCTCCTCCCTGCTCCTCCTCCTCCCCTCCTGCTCCCTACTCTGCTCCTTGCGCTCTCCGTGCCCTCCTCCCCGGTACGTTCTGGCCCTCCCAGCCCGCCTGCCTCCCGGGAAGGCCCTGGTCAGCCACAGAGCGCCCCAAAGTTTCCCCCACCGTCATGGTCGCCGTCGTGCCGCGCGCTCTCTCGCCATCCTCGCCCCTCCCTCCTCGGCCTCGTCGTCGATCTACCTTACAGCGGAGGTGAGTCCACGAGTTACCTCCCACAAGAAACCCAACCCTGAGAACCCAGGACGTCCATTGTTTTTTGGCGTGGGGACGTCGCGCTTTCCACAGCAAACCCATCGACACCCAAGAAACCTATGGCACGGTAAGACGAAGCATGGACGAGGATGAGTTCGGGTGAGAATAAATAGATAATCTCTGAGATCCAGCGGCTCTGTAGGATGCCTCGGGCGCCGCGGCCTTCTCAGAGAGCTCTGGAATCTGGAACGCTCTGAGAGCGTTCCGTAACGCCCCGGAGCGGAGTTATCCTCGTCCTAGCCCCGTCCGAATCCTCCCAGACCTCCGACGTCGACGTGCCGTTTTAGCTCAAGCAACAGCGTTTCGCTAGAGGGCTCTATAATCGAGGCGAACCAAAAACAAGAGAAGCCCAGATGGGCGTGGCGGGTACGAGATCGCCTCGCCCGGCAGCCGTTTCGCACTAGACTTGGCCCCACTTCTCGCCCGGCAGCCGCCTATATTTTCGGCCTGGACGGCCACGATCCCTCCTACAGTCGGGGCGTTGACCTAAGGAACCCTACATAAGGAACGAGGCCCCTTTTTCCCCTAAAATAAACTTCGATTTCCCACGGGAAACCTAAGTGAAACTGCAAAACAATCGAGGAACACCGAGCCCCTCCCCAACGAAAAGGGTTCCTTCTTCAAGGCCCCGACTGTAAAAGATTCACAAAGGTGCACATGGCCGTGCTCTCACTCCTGTCCCGCCCGCCAGCGTTCGGATGCATCCCTGGGAATACCTAGGACTGCACGTTTTCCCCGGCCAACCTGAGAGCCCAGACCCCCGGCGTCCTGATTTTTTCATGACGCCGACCCCAAAGGCCGAGACCCATTCCCCAGGACTGGCTTTGCATCCGGAGTTGTTTTTGACGGTCCCGAGGCCCGGTAAGGGCCCCCAGAGGCCGAAAACTATCAAAAACCGTCCGTCGTTTTTCTGTTCATGACCCGAGGGGGTCTAGGATTCCTCGACCCGCCTCTTCACCTTTGCTGCTGTCAGGGTACTTTGCTGGGGCATTGTTTGTCAACCGGGGCCCCCAGAGTTGACGGCGCGCAGAGGGGGGTGAGTGGAGGGGGAAGGCTTCCTAGAAGCAGGGGAGCTTATAAGAAGCCTTCCCCCCTCCCCCTGCCCCCCTCTGCGCATGGCTGACTTCCTCCCTCTCCTCCTCCATTTCGATTCCCCCCCCGACACGTGACGCCTCCATCTGCGCGTGGCTGCCAAAATACCCGACTCTGTCCCGGAGGGCACGCTTTCAATCCCGATCGAGTCGCGTTTCGACGGCCCTGGGGCCCCGCCCAGGCCCCAAGGAGGGCGACAACGGCCCAAGACCCCCGTCCCGATTTCTGAACGTTGGATGTCTGGGCTGATTCTTGGAGCTCGAGGCAGTTTGTTTCTTTGTTATAAAAAAGGTTCGACGACGTTAGCTTTGCGGTCCGCGGCCCCAGAAGTTGTCCCGACCTGGGGGGTTGCCAGAAGTGCCCCCCTGGCCCAAGGTGTCCCCTGGACCCCCAGCCAAATCTCCGATGGCTTGACCCGGGAACCCCAGACCCTTTCCCCGGAGCCGGATCTGCATCCCCGAACAGTTGCGTTGACGGTCCCAGGGCTCAGCTCGGCGAGGGCCGCTGGAGCACGAGAAAACTGCGATTCGCCTCGGTATTTGTACCGGTGTTGTTCAAGACGGTGGGGACCGGGGTCCCCAGGGAGGCCCAGCTGGCCTCCAAATCGCCCCGCGCGAAGCCCAAAGGACCCCAGGGTCTCAGAAGTGAGGCTGGGAGCGCCTCTCGGGCCAGGACCACCTATGGCCACCCCCTGAGCTCTCTCCCCGGGCCCCAGCTCTGCGGTCCAGGGCCCGCTTCCGCCATCCCCGACCACAGCAGAAGAACAGCTGCATGAACGTGACTGAGCGCCGATCGAAGCAGGGGTCTTAGGCGAGATAACGTGGCGACCTTACGCGATGACCCACGCGGGCCGCAGGCGCGGCAAGCTTTATTGAACACGAAGGCGCTTACGCGCGAGCTCACGCGGGCAGCTTCCGTGCCAGCACCGGCGAAGACGACGGCGTTATTTTGCGTCGCTAAACTGAGTTTGGGCTGTAAAGACAGCCGCGTCAAAAGCGGTTGATCGTCAGAAATCGCGCTGCCGCTTGTCGAACAAGTCAGCGCGGCCTGGCACCAAGGGCGAAAATCACTGCACACATATGAATTGTGGGAGTTCCGCGCGGATTTCTTTAAGGTCGGGCATGTCCTCCTGCAGGCGGATTTTGGAGGACAGTGGAACATAAGCAGGAAATTCGAAACAAATAATCAAAACATCATCGAACAATCGTACCCAAACCATTCTTTGACTATTATGTAATACTCCTCCTGCAGAAAGACACGCCCGATTTACGATTTCTTGGGTCGGCGCTGGACCCTCCCTCCCTGGCGCGCCGGGGGCGGCGCCAGAGCCCCCCCCCCCCCCGCGCACATTCGTTTTGAAAACTTGCAAGAGATTCACGGATTGAGGGCGGGTCGTTTTCGAAATGTGACCCTCGCTTTAGCGCCGCGCACATTCGTTTTAACAAATTGCAAGAGCTTCACGGATTGAAGGCGGGTGGTTTTCGAAATGTGGCTCCCGCCTTAGCGCGGCACACATACGTTAAACAATTCAAGAGTTTCACGGACTCTTCGAGAGGCCGTCGCCGAAGGTGAATGAACACGAGTCACTGCTCGTCTCGAACTTCACGCTGTGCTGGTCCAGCATCTCGTGCATCAGGTTCTCGATCCCTTCGACCCCGCCGGGGCTCGTGGTGGCCCCGATGTCAAGGAGAGCCCATATGCCATCTCGCTCCAGGAGGTACACGTAGTCATCCAGGGCCGACAGTATGAAGCCGCTGTGGGAGCCGCCCTTGCCGCGTTCGCGGCCAGTCTCCCCTTTGTCGTTGAACCTCTCTGGGAAATCCGCAGCGCGGTGACCATACCAATGACAGGCGACGCACTGCATCTTGAAAGGTCGCGGCGTCCGCCACGAGGTGCTGCCTCGTACTGGGGTCGTCCTCTGAACCGTCCGCGCCTGCGTCCGCGCCCAGGTCGAAAGGGTCCCCAAGCTGGCCCAAGGGCCGGTGGCGTTCGCCGTTCCTGCTCCTCCTTTGTTGCCACCACCGGGTAGTAGTCACGGGACACGCGTAGTCGTCGAAGCAGGTCCCTCGCATCATTAAAACTCCCGCCCGCCTGCTTAAACTCCGCAAACACCTCGTTGTCCGCGCTGCGGTCTTCAGCTGATGGATCCTCATCGTCTTCTTCTTCGGCTAGACGGACCAGTTGCTCGGCCACCTGGCGAATATCATCATAAATTTCTCCACGGGTCTATTCCTCGAAGTCGTCCACGTCATCTGCGAAGAAGGCCGTGTCACGGAGATGCTTGCCGTCGATCTCTGTCAATGCATCAGCGGGGAACTTCGTCAAAAGGGTTGTGTACACCTTGCCGTAGTCGTAGTCGCCGCCAGCTGTGGCGCCTACCTCTCCTCGCAGGCAAGACGGGTGTCAACCTCGACTTCCTCAAGAACCACCATGCGCGAAGAGGCTTAGCGATCACTTCTCGAACGTCTCCGTCGATCGCCTTGAGCTGCTTCAACAACTCTCGCTCCTTCTTCTCAAACCGGGCAACCCAGTCCTGAAAGGTCTCCCCTGGGTTCCTGGCGATCTTCAAAAAGAGCCCCTCCGCGAAGAGCCCTCTGGCGTTGAGGCTGGTATAACCCGGCTTCTCCAACGCGTAGTCGCGGACGCGACCCCGACCCACTAGGTTCCCGTCTTTATCCATTTCGTCGCCTTCGTTGGTGTTCGGACAGCTCTCCACCGTCGTCCGGACCCGCGCCCCGAGGGCGCGCACCAGTTGCGGTCCGCACACGCAGCGGTCCGGCACCTGATGTTTTTCGTGAGCATGGCGACCTTGAACCTGTAACTGGTCAGCTTCTCCGCCTCGCCGTTCCAGGTCGGTACATCCACACGTGTAGTTGTCGCCGCCTGGTTTGGTCCGATGGTCGTTATTGCTGTCGCTCTCGCCTTTCAGGCCGAGACCAGTGGAAGCCCGTGGTTCTGGAGACCACAGGCTCCGCTACCAATCTGAATCGTAGAACTCGTCATGGGAGTCAACGTCGGAGATTTGTGCCGCAGGCTGAAGATATTCTCGGGAAAAATCAGTACTGATGATGGACACCTCTTGTCCTCGCACACTATCGGCCGCGCACCCCTGCGCGGTCTGATCGGCACGGCCGATCTATTGTCAAAGCAGAACCCGCCCGGCCTCGCCTTGAGCCGAGGTGGGCGGACGGACACGGACATGGCAGGAGATGGGCAGGTACGTAGTATACACACTCTTACCTGCGTTGCATGCAGACAAGGGGGCCTCTCTGGCCCCCCACTACTGGACGCCCGACTCTTGTTTTGGGCGGCGAGCCCGGGGGGAAACGAGAGGGGGCGAGCCCTCTCAGAAAGACACAAGGCTTCTCGAAAGCCCTCGCGCCTCCCGCGGAGTGCTCCGTGCCTTCTGGGAAGGCTCTCCGACTGGCCATCGCTCGGACGTCTGTTCCCTGTGCCCTTTTCGGCGTCGTGCGTGGCTTCTTCGCCAGGTGATCCAGGATGCTCCTCGATGGTCCTCGCCGAAGGAGCAATGCACACGTCCGAGCGGTGCCAGGCCGAGAGCTCCCCAGAGGGCCCGAGGCCTGCCGAGACCTCTGCGCGAAGGGTGGGGGCCCTGGGCCCGCCGCCGATCTGTTTGGAGCTCCACGCCCTCACTGCCCAAAGACATCTATGAAGGGGCCCTGGGACACACAAATAAATAGGCACACATTAAAAAGGCCCTGGGGGCCTCCAAAACGCCGCCAAGGAGCCCCAAGAGACTCCCAAGAGGTCCCGAAGAGGCCCCCAAGAGGCCCTAAAGTGGGCTCCAGGGCCGGCGGCATGAGCGAAGCGATGAAATAAATAGGCACACATAAAAAGCTCCCCCATGTTTTCCCCTCCTTTCTGGGCTCTTGTCTTCCCCCCCAGTTCCCATATGTTCCCTATTTTCCTGGGAGTCGACGATTCATTGTGCCTGTGTGTTCCTTCCCTCCCGAATCTAGGCGCAGTGGCGGCAGGCTGTCGAGGAGCACCAGGGACAGGCAGAACCCTTCGGAGGTCCGCGCGGTCTTTTGCTGTGCTCCCCCGCGGCTAGCAAGCCCCCCGCGAGTCGACGAGCATGCCAGAAAACCCCGCCTGCGCCTGCCCCCTCTGAAAGGGGCCCCAGGACACACAAAGAAATACACACAAATAAAAAGTATCCCCCATATTTCCCATATTTTCGGAGTTTCTGTCTTCCCCCCCCACTTCCCATATTTTCCCATATTTTCCGGGGAATCGCCGATTAAAATTGTGTCTGTGTGTTTCTTTCCCTCCTGACCCTCGAACCTCACCCACTGCGAAAGCAGAAAGCATTGCACACGCATAGTGTTTCGAGGGTCCGCGCGGATATCTTGGATCTGCGCCTGGGGCTCCTTTCCCTTGCGCGCGGGGCGGCGCCAGAGGTGCCGCCAGTGGGGCCCGGCGCAGATCCAAGAACTCCGCGGACCTCCGAGAGGTTACTGTGCAGGCCAGTCCACAAGAAACCTCCCACAAGAAACCCAACCCTGAGACCCCAGGATGTGCACTGATTTTTTGGAGCGGGGACGTCACGCTTCCCACAGCAAAACCCTTGAAACCCAAGAAACCCAGGGCACCCTGGAGGCAAGCAGGGCGCTTCTTGGTATGGGCCTCCACTGTATGTTTCTGCAGCTGTTTGCTCTTCGAATGCTGCACCGCGCTCGCAGCAGCAGCCGGGGAGAAAGCCCCACCAGCGACACCCCCCACCCGCGGCCGGCGAGAGCCTGGCTCGGGCGGCGTCCCAGGCGCAGCGTCGCTCTGCGGGCTGTGCCCCGCGTCCTCCTGTGCTCGGCGGGGGGGGGCCAGACACCCAGCGGTGCCATTTTGGCAGTGCGCGGCCCCAGGAGGTGAGGGGCAACGACAAGGAAGGACTTGTAGAATAGGAAGCAACGGCATAGACATACACTTTTGGCGCTCCGCGCGGATTTCTTAGATCTGCGCTGGGCCCCCCCGGCGGCGCCTCCGGCGCCGCCCCTGGCGCACTCCGCGCGCCAGGGACGGCGCTAGAGGTTTGAGGATGGGACCGAACGAGGGGAGCTGACCTGTAGTTCGGCGGCGCGCACAAGTTGCCATTGCTCGGACGTCCATTCCTCGTGCATTTTTCGGCGTCGTGCGTTCGTGTTTTCGGTTTTCGCCAGATGGTCCAAGATGCCCCACGATGGTCCTCGACGAACAATGCACATGTTCGAGCGATGCCAGGACAATGGGATAGGGGCGGGGAAGTCTTCTTAGAAAGAGGCTGCTTCTTGGATGGCGCCAGCCCTGCATCATTTGACAAGGCCCGCGCCTTCTAAGAAGCAGGGGTGCTTCTAAGAAGCCTTCCACCCTCCCCCTACGCCCCCCTGCGCGTGGCTGATGTAACTCTCGCCAAGGGACATCCCCTTCTGGGTTGTTCTGGGGGAGAGGCTCACCCTGGGGAAACCAGAATGTACCGATATCGCTGCCCCCTATGGGGTGCGATCTGACCAAGACTTCGGATTGAAGCCAGCGGTGGCGACGAGGGCCTCCCGGAGGCCCCAGAAGGGGAAAACGGGCGAAGCGTAGCAGGATGGGTACGGCAGGTTCGCGTCGTGTCGACCCCGGCGTTTGTTCCTGACACCGCGGGGATCGTTCAAACTTGAACGATCGGCCGTTTCAAAAACGCCAGATCGTTTCACGATGGGCCGATTCAAGGCCACGGGCGTCGCTCAACCCTACACGCCCGCGCTGGGCTCGCCGCTGGTCGACACAACGCGATCCTGCTGCACCTTTCCCTCCTCCGACACCCGTCGATCGCTGGGAGGTGTAGCTCCGCGGCGCACCCTGGCGGCTCACCGTTCCAGTGTTGTCCGGGGGCTGCCAGGAGGTCGCCGAGGCGTCCTCCTCCTCCTCCTCCTCCTCCTCCCCCTCCTCCTCCTCCTCCTCCTCCTTCTCCCCCTCTTCCTCCTCCTCCTCCTCCTCCTCCTCCTCCTCCTCCTGGCGCCCCAGGCTCGGGGGCCGCATCCCCACGGAGGCAACCAGGGGCCCGCGGCAGCGAGACTCGAGGCGCGAGCGGGCCCGAGGGCGACTGACGGCGGCGAGGCGACAGATCCACGCCCAGCGATGGAGGCGGCGGCGGCAGCACGGGGCCCCCGGCGATGCCCAGCTCCGAGCTGCGAGGAGGGAGGGGAAGCGAGGAACAGGGCGAGGAGAACGAGAGAGAGGATGAGGAGGAGGACGAGGAGGGGGAGGAGAAATCGGCTGCTCACTCGGGGGTCCTTCCTGGAGACACTCGCTCCACTCGTGCGTCGAAGCTACGTCGAACGTCCGTCGGTTTGAGTCGATCACGAAACGAACCTGAATCGAACCTGAGTCGAACTTGAGCCGAACTTGAGCCGAACAAGGGTCGAACGGATCCGTTAGGCGGGCCCCAGGCAGGCCCCCCAAACGAGCACCCGAGGAGGAGGATCTCTGGGCAGGTCCCCCGCCGCGGGCGGGCGGCTCCCGGAGCTCCTCGCGGTCCCAGAAGATGGGCGAGTCGGGTGACGCCGCCTGCCCGCGCGGACGGGCCCCGAGGGAGCCCGGCGGCGCGCCCCTCCGGGCCATGCCCGGACCAAAACGTCGGCCACTCCGAGGGGCGTGGCCTGCGAAGGGTGCACCCCAAAACCACGCAAGAGCGGGCGCCAATGGGAGGCACAGAGACACACCAGTACTGCACGCCCTCGCTGGAGGAGGGGCGACCGACCCGAACATGCAGCATACCCATCGTCTAGTACATCGTTTCCCGAGCGGTGTGGCCAGAGAGCGCCCGCCACGACGCGTCTACTGCAAGATTTCTGGGTGCGCGTGTCGCGCCTGGGGGGGGTGATGCACACATGTGAAGAGGCCCTGGGACACACAAATAAATACACACAAATAAAAACATTCCCCATATTTTCCTATATTTTCTGAGGTTTTGTCTTCCCCCCCACTTCCCATATTTACCCATCTGTTCTGGAAAACCGACGATTAATTGTGTCTGTGTGTTTCTTTCCCTCCTGAACATGGTATTGGTATGCTGTGGTGACGCCGATGGCTCGCGAAGGGTGCACCCCAACACTTCACAAGAGCGGACGACAGCGCCCCAAAACCTCGAACCCCGAGCCTCGAAACCGAATTTTTCAACCTGAGCCTATGCCCCCCGTCCCGTTGTCCCCGAATCCCCCCTCCTCCCTCCACTCTCGGCGACTCCAAAGAGTATAGTTTGCACGGGGTGTGGTTTGCAAGTGGCTTTTTGTTTTGGACGTGAGTCAGAGGCGAGCGTTAACTCCCAAGCAACACAGTGCCCTTTTTTCGTTCCCCTTGGCAGCGGTCGTTGCCCCGGGGAGGTGTCGGGCGGGAGGGCAATGGCAACGGCGGCCGCGGCGTGCACCCGCCAGGGTGCGTCCGCGCCACTGGCGCATCAATCGCCTGTGTGCACCACAACTCTTCCTCCTTCTCCTCGTTTTCCTCCTCCTCCTCCTCCTCCTCCTCCTCCTCCTCGTCATCCTCTTCCTGCCTGTGTCAACGACAATGCCCACTTCCTGCGTGAAACACGGCGCCACACGCCTGTGAGCTCGGCGCCGCAACATGTGGGGAGTTTGCGAGCGCCACAACACGTTGATTAAGCCTTCCGGAACCACGCAGTGCCTGTGAAGACTTTTTCCGTCGGCGGCGAGGCAGAGGCAGTCCGCTCCAGCGTGTGGTCATTCGGGGCAAGCGAAAGGCAAATTGACCGGCGTGCACAAGGGGGGACCAAGTTTTAGTTATGCCTGTGCAAGCACCCAATCTCTGGTGACGAGGCCCTGGCTGCCTGGCACGCCTTCGACGAGGCGGCGCGCACACATGCAGGCCGCTCGGGGGAAACGGGCATCGGGCAGGGACCAAGCGTCCCAGCATTCCCCCTCCTAGGCCTGGTTTGGGCCATAATGCCAGGGGTGGGGGGCTCTTCTCACGTCGTCGTCGTCGGCTCACCTTGCTCTACTGATGTTTTCGTCGGTGTTTGATATTCCGGAAAGTTTTTCGGCGATCTCAGCCAGCGAGGAGCGATCTCAAGCCCTGGGGGTTCCGGGGGGTCTTCTTCCTCCACCTCCTCCTCCTTCTCCTCCTCCTCCTCCTCCAACTTCACCTCCTCCTCCTCCTCCTCCTCCTCTTCATCATCATCCGCATCATCATCATCATCATCATCATCATCATCATCATCATCATCATCATCATCATCATCATCATCACCATCATCATCATCATCACCATCATCATCATCATCATCATCATCATCATCATCATCATCATCATCATCATCATCATTATCATCATCATCAGCATCAACATCATCACCATCACCATAATCATCACCATCACCATCACCATCACCATCGACATCACCATCACCATCCCCATCACCATCATCATCATCATCACCACCACGGCCATCATCACCATCAACACCACCACCATCACCCGAACCACCGTCATCATCATCATCATCATCATCATCATCATCATCATCCACATCCTCATCGTCGTCGTCACCATCATCATGATCATCGCAACCATCACCACCACCACCACAACCACCGCCATCATCATGGCCATCATCCGCAAAATCAGCGACAGCAACAACAACATTATCATCATCATCGCCACAATGAGCATCACCATCGTCGTCATCATCACATTCATCGTCGTCATCGTCATCATGATTGCCATCGCCATCGTCAGCGTAAGCGTCATCGTCGTCATCATCATAGTCAAGATCATCGTCGTTATTGTCATCGTCAACGTCGATGTCATCGTCATCGCCATCATCATAATCATCGTTATCACCATCGCCATCGTCATCCTCATGATCATCCTCGTCCTCAGTTTCATCCCCAACCTCATCCTTGTCGACTACAACCTCATCGGCTTAATTGTCATCGTCGTCGGCATCGTCATCGCCGTCGCAATCGTCACCGTCACCGTCATGAACGTCATCGTCATCGTCACCGTCGTCGTCGTCGTAATAATCACTATCAGCAGCAGCAGCAGCAGCATCATAGTCATCATCACCAATTTCTTTTCTCCCCCTCCTCAAAGGAAAGGATCACAAGGACTACCGCCATCGCAGGTGCGATGCACTTGAACAGCTCCAACCGAGCAAAGCGTTCATCCTCAGAGCGAAAGCTGAGGCGGGTTCCTCCTCAGCTGCTCCCGAGCACGGCGTTCGCCCCAGAGCAGCAGCTACGGCGGGCTCCTCGCCCCATGCTCTCGAACCTGAGCGGCGCGCACTTTGGCGCGCCGCGCGTTCCGGCAATCCCTTGGCGGCGGGCACCCTGGGGTGGCGTTGGAGCTCTGGGCCTGCGCTGCGCTGCCCCCCGCGGCCCTCAGATGGCGACGCGCACCCTGGCGCGCCGCCCCACTGCGCCTCCGCGGGGCGCCGCTCCCGCGGAGACCAACCTGCCCCCCGCGCGCTGGGGCGGGGGGCCCGGGCCGCGGGAAGGGCGGGAGGGGGCAGAACAGGCGACGAGGTGCAAGAGTCTCTCCCCCGTCCGCCCCTGCCGAACATCGCGTTTGCCCGCGACCCTCGGACAGGCGCGGGCGAGGCGACGATCGGGCTGCCACCCGACTGTTTACCTGGGAAGGGGGCCCAACGGCAATGGCGCCCCCTCGAAGAAGAAGAGGGGGAAGGAAAGGAACGCCTGGGCGGGGAGAGTGCACAGCGCTGGGTGATGAGCTCAAATTCAAGTTACTGGCCTCGAGCTGAGCCTTCCTGGGCGCCCCCCGACGCCGACGGAACATCCGCCGCCGTAGAGTCAGACGACGCGACATTGCCGCAGACCCGAGGGGCCGCCGACCGCTTGGGGGCCAACCGAGCAAGGGGGACAATGCCATCGAGAAACGCCCTGCACTTGCCGTTCGGCGGCGTCCCTGGGTCAAATCAACCAATCACTCCCCAACCTTTCTTGGTGGAGCCCGCAAGGGCCGGCCAACTTTAAAGGGCGACCCTGGGGCCGCCCCTCACATTCCAAACAGACAAAACTTTGCCTCTCGGGGAGAGGGGGTATTCCGCGACAGCCTGTCAGCCCGAACCGTGCACGAGAGATCTCGCTCAGCTGCAGGCCTGCAGCGTGCCCCAGCGGGCCTGTAGCCCCACTGGCGCCAACCAGCCCGCCTCCGGGACCTGCCGCGCCGCGCAGCTCGGGGGGGCCTGCGCCGCCTGAAATTGTATTGGAATAGCGGCAGCGCGACGGGAGAAATCTTGACAAAATCATTCGCTCTCTCGAGGGCGAGGTGGGGTCAGCACCCTCGCGGGACATCGTGCTTTCTTGACATGGCGATCCACGGCCGAACTCGGAACTGCAAGCTCTCTCTCACATGCGTCGGGGATGGCATCGATGGCCTCCTTGGATCTGTGGGCTTTAACGCGCCTTATCTCCTGGCAGCCGTTTGGCGCCTTCGAGAGGAAGCGCAAAAATGGCGGATGCCGGCGAACTTCGACGGGGGTCGCAATCTGTGGACTCACGCCATGCGGAGTGATCTTGATCGCGGCCGCGCAATCTGCTCCGAGCACCGACGGGCGACTCGCCACCCAGCCGCGCAGAGCAACGCCTACGCGCGCAGACATAGCAAACATTCGAAGACAATTTCGGTGGACCGCTCCGCGAATTGCTGCCGCCAGCCGGCGTGCATCTCCACTTACAGGCAACGCGCCGATAGCCCAAGCTGCTCTCTGGAGCGCTCGGAGAGAGGGCTTGGAGTAGGAGCCGTTTGACACGAGACGGAGCACGGGCTCTGGGGGCAGCTTGGCGATAGCCTCGATATCCATGTCTAGCTGGTCGCCAACAGCATCGAAGAGGTGAGCCCCCCGCGAAACGCTGGGAATTAGCACCTCACTATCCCGATGCATAGAAATGCCCCGGGTGTAATCATCAAGGTCAGGGTCCTCTAGTGCCGCCTGTGCGCGCGCAGGCGCGGTGCCAGAGTCATCTCTCGCGTGCTTGACGTCATCTCGCACCGCGTGTACAGTCTGTGATTGAGTGTGTCGGCATGTCCGCACTTGCACAAACCGTCAGTCACGCAACCCGCCAAACGACCCTTTCGTTGGCCCACATCCCATTGCGCGCGCAGCATTTGATCAACGATTTGGCATGCCCAATCAGGCCCCTGGCTTCTGGCCCCACGCGCCCACGCGGCCCCGAGTGAGACCCGAGGCGGCCCTCTGCCAGGGGGGCGTGTCCGAATCTAGCTGCTAGTGCCAGCTCGTGCTGACGCCGACTATTTACTCCTAACATGTGGCTGACAGCGAGCGGGGGGCCCGGTCTATCTGGACCGTCAGCCCGTCGTGATCATTCCGTTGCAAAGGCGCTAGCACCTCCCGGCCCGCTCTCTGGAGCACTAGCGCAGGACGACGGATCGGGCCACCCTGCAGTGGCTGGGCCGAGTCCCAGGGCCCAAGAAACTCTCTCTTACTTACTCGTGCCATCTCAGGCTGGGTGGGTGAAATCCACGTCATTCTACACCAGTAGATCGCAGGGGCCACCGGGGGTCTGGAA